AAGACAAGTCGATCCTGAATTTTAAAGGGAGAAGAAAAACAACAACAACAACAACAACAAAAAAGCTAATCTAATCCCACCATGTAACTTGACCAATGAATGATCCCCAGAGGCACTAACAAATCGCTGCAAAAAGCCGAGGTAACTTAAACCATGTGCTTGAGTTTCTTCTGTCCCAATACTGTCATTTTTTTTCAGAAGCCTTTGAAAGCAGCACCCAAAGGAGGCAAAACACAGCTGATTGAACCTACAGCCAACAGAAGCGATAAGACAGGAATTCATACAACATGAACACACTTTCTGCATAAATTGCTAATATTCACGGGGAACCGTCATGCATGAATGTTCCCATGAGTCTAAGTGATGTGGTGGTAGAATAATCCAAAGAAAAAATTGCTCTGACCTTACCCACTGAAAATTAACAAGGTGTTATAGAACACAAAAAAATGTTCTCTGGGGCAGCCAGCCTGAAATGCTTTTTCCACACAATGAGATGACACAATTATAAAATATTTAAAATAGCGAGTGAAAGGAATTCAAAGTAACGTGGAAAATGAAAGCCATTGGAAAGAAAACAAGAAATGCCAAATGAGAGGAATGCTCAAAGAATATGTCATTAGGAGTGAGTGTAAGAAAAGGGTAATGAGCCCTCACCTCTCAAAGAATTCAAACCTCTGCAGTTTCTCACTAAGTCAAACTTTCCTAACTAAACTGAAACACAAAAGCACAACAGCTGCTGAACAAAGCTGAAGACTAACCAACCACATTGATAATCAGTGGAGTCAAAGCCAAGGTTTCCTTTCATTTATTTATTATAATGGAAGGAGGGACCAAACTTTCAAATATATTTCCTAAAGCCTCTGTCTTTGTTTACATTTCAACTATACAGTGGCATCATATAGATGCAGGCGTCTATAAGGTACAATAAGCAAAAATAACAAAATGTAAACAGTGGAAACCAGAATCATTAGGAGTAAACAAGTCAAATCATTTTCCATTACCTACAGTTCTTTAGTCCTTTAACTACAGAATAATTTTTTTTTTCAGCTGCGACTTCGCATTCCTGTTCTGACATTTGTTCTGCCCGCATTTTCCAAATAAATAAATAAATAAATAAATAAATAAATAAATAAATAAAAATGAAGACCTTTTTGCTAATAGAGTTCCACTTGCCAAGATATGTAGTGCTGCACTAACAAAAATTATTTCTCACAGTCTAAGAACCTTCAGCTGCAAAGGCCGTTTGCTTCTAGTGCACCTGTCAAACTCAAGGTCCATGGGCCAAATGTGGCCCGCATCTGAATTTTATGTGGCCTGTGAGAGCTTCCAAGACGTATTGATGTTTTAAAATAAACGTATGCTGCTTTAAAGCCAGAACTGACCATAAACTACTTCTCCCATAATGCATGTCGATTATTTTGCCTGTGAAATGCAGCATCCCACCACTAGGAGAAGGTGCACAGGGTTCAAAAGTAGCCAGCAGCTGGAGAAATTCACTGTGTAAAATCTCCATTTAGCTGCATTTTCTGCCAGCTATGTTTGCTGTGGTCCAGTTGTATCAGAAGTGAGAAATTCCAACTTACAAGTTGCAAAATTAAACTGGAAAGCAAATCCAGTGGGCATACCCTGTCAGAAAGTGGGAGAACCCTGACTACCCCGGGTCAGAATTTTATGGTGGCTACTCACCACAACTCAACAGTGAATAAAACTCTCTTACTTTTACTTTAAAAAATATTTCTGTATTATTTCTTTCACATTCAGTCAGTTGTACACATATTACTTTTTAGTGTTTATGAAAGGATGTATTAAAATAATGCTTTTATACACAAAAATACCACGTAAAGCTCAGTTATTCTAAGCTGTAGCAATGAGATGAGGAACATGACATTACATGTTTAGTTGTCAAGTTAATTACAACTTGACAACTAAACACGTGCAGAACACATGCAGAACACACCCAGTTAGAGCTCAGAAGCTAAGCAGATTCTGCCCCGGTTAGTACTTGAATGGGAGACCACCAGGTGCCATACCAATGTAGGAATTGCACCCACATTGGTCATTAGCTATAGAAAGTCTTTTGACCATAAAGGTCATAGGTCACCTTCAATGAAGGTTACCATATCATCAATCAATTGGATACATTTTCAAGATGTGATACAATAAAAGTTTAAATTGAACTTCTAGTAACTTTATAATTTTCATCATAGCTTATTATTTTTGGTGCCATAGCCAGTCAATCCAGAATGAACATTTGACATGCAACGACCTTCATGTCTTTTTCCATAGCAAGATGAAAATCGCAAGAACTTGATGTTTTTACAGATAGAGCTTATCACCTAAAAAAGTTGCCATAAGGTAGAATTACCCTCATTTTCTGTAAACACCATTTTCATGGGGGCAACATTTCCACTGACTCTGATTGTCAGAGTTTAAAAAAAGAAGAAAAAAAACACGACGTTGACAGATTTAGGCTATGCTCGGTTTCGCCTGGTGGCACAGGGTGTTCTGTTCTGCTGTTGGGAGGTAGTCCAGCATTTCTGCCACCCAAACTGACCCAGCAGAAAGACTGAGAAAAACTATAGATCTCTCAGTGGTTGCCTTATTTGTCCAAAATCCTCTTCAGATCACACAACTGGTTTGTCTTCCTTTATTAGTTCCATTTGTAGCACGTTTGACCTTCCAGGGTTCTTAACGATGTGCATAAATTAGATTTATTTCACCTGTCATTTTATCAGCTCTGTGTCCGATCTATAGTCTTTAGTTGTGGAAAAACTAACTGCATTCAGGCTGAACGAATCTCATTTGTGTTGTTGTCGAATGTGTAACATTTTAATGAAGGTGACAACAGTTAACCCATAATGCAACACAGTATGTTCACGTATAGAGGGAGGTAAGTGAATATTATATTTGTCAAAGCAGCCCAAATTTAAATTTACTGATTTGCTCCAAGCCCACCAATATATGTTGACTTTTGGATTTGGTCTTTGAAAGAAATAGCCATGTGTTTGGTTTGTTTCCACCAGACATGAATCTGTGCGTGTGTGGAGTCAGGTTTGATGTCATACAGCTCTCACAACAAATCCTATCAGTGTTTAAATATACCTCAATAGATCGTAAAGATGCTTTTACTTCATTTGGTTGCTATGCAGCAGAACAAACATCTTTTTCCTCAAAGCACAAGTTTTACTCAAAGTGTCTAGGCTCACAAAATATTTTCTGTACTGAAAACTAAAATGAACTGCATCCCATTTACAGGAGAGAGCAGAATTTATAGTTGGAAACCAGAACTCTGGACACATGGACCTGCTCCTCAAATGTAAAAAACAAAAGTTACCCAAAAACTTACAAACATCAGCAACGATAAGATAGAAAGTGGGCTGTTTATATCTTCCATTCCAAGTTGTGAGATGGAAAGGTGTTTGCCAATAAAAATGCAATAAAAATAGCAGTAAAACAATTTTCATTTGAGTTTTCATTATACATTTACGAGATGTTGAGATATTGCATACGATGATGACCGACTTCCAAGCAGGACAAAGCTCATTGTCCTCTCAGCCATTTGCCACCATGTTCCAGCAGTTGTTGCACTGCAGTGGCTATAAGGCCGGGAATAAAAGTTGTGCCTGTGTGTGTGAAAAAAATACTCCTATAAGAATAGGACATTGATTGATGCTGAACATAGCGATTGAGTAACTGCAGTTTTAAATGTTAGAAAGAAAAGAAAATCCATTATCTGAAACCATCTCTTCCCTAATGGCTAAAATGAAGCATCACTGCAGCAGATTATAAAATTCATCACCTACCCTCAGCATTACTGCTGGAGGGTAAATAGCAGTAAAGACCCCTGGCAGCATTTCACCTTCCTCCTCCCCCCTTGCTTTGTCATGAATAAATATTTCATACTCCATAGTTGATGCGCTACAGTTCTGTGTCATAAAAGCCCTCAGATGAAGTCAGCTGGAAAGGAGCTGCTTGTGGGGGAAAAAGAGCCTTGATGGTACCTGCAGCTGCTTCAAGCATTTGTAGTGTCATTTCAGGGAAATGAAAAGCCGCTGTTTGCCTTTAATATTGTGCGGGCCGGTTCACACAGGCGCCGGGATGTGACGCTGCACCTTTCCCTGCCTTATTTTATTTTTAAAACTATTGTTTTCCCCTCTCTCTTATAATATGTGAAAAATATGTCACGTGTGTCATAAAATGTGTCAAATTTTGATCAAAATGACTGTTTCAGATTTCTAAACGTTCCCCTCCAATCTGCTCTGCACGGAGGCGCACGGGGCACTCCATCAATCCACATGGACATGTGCAGTTCTGGCGCAAAGGATGCAGAGGCCCCTGCAGAATTGCGCCATGCGTCTCTTACTGCGCAGACATCCTTCAGGCAAAACGCATGTTTGTCACCCAACTTTCACACCTATAAAGGGTTTAGGGTTGGGGTGGGGTGGGGGTGTAAATCTGAACGTGCTCTGAATCTGTAACCAGCACATCTCTATAAATAGGTGAAGCCTGGACTTTAAAAAAAAAGGAGAAAGGGAAGAATGAGTGTGGGAAAAAGGGTGGGAATGTAGGGTGACTATTAAGAAGACGCATTTAGGGTGCTCTACAATAAAACACTGATGCACCTCCCGTTATTTGTTTAGAAACGAGTGGTCTACTCTCTGCGGGTCTGCAAATCACACACACACACACACACACACACACACACACACACACAAAAAACGATGAAAAAAGCGCAGCAGTGTGTGTGTGGAGCGCGTGGAGGGCGAGGATGAGGCGAGGGGACAAAATCTCCACATCCAAATCCTACCCGACGCATGGTACTCCAAAGTCTCCTCTCGGATCTCCTGGCCACTTGCATCCCATTCACTCCACCCCCTCCCAAAAGATAAAGGGAAAAAAAACATAACTTGCACACACCGGCAATGCTGGAAAAGAGACAGCGACCCCGGCATTGTTCACTATTAACACATATAAAACAGAGAAACCAAAGAATGTCCTACCTTTATAATCGTGCGCGTCTCCTCAATTCAGAGTTGATAGTAAAAAAAAAAAGAAAATCAGCAGTATGGCTCTTGCAAAAAGCAGAATGGGTAACAGGAGGAGGAGGAGTGGTAGTAGAGGTAAGCCTGTAGTAGGGACTGGTAATGGAGACGCAGGGAGCTCTTATACGCTGGCCAAGACAGCGTATCCAACGACCGAGACGCACAAAGGGAGGGCAGAGAAGTCCGGATTCCCATGCACAGTTTTGTTTTTATTTCTTGCCGTTATCTTTCGTTCCTGCCAACTCCTCGTTTCCCCGCAGCGCAACCTGAGTGACCTGTATGATCGGGTGACCGGAGCGATGCTTCATCAGCAAACCCGCAGTCGCTGAGACCAGGCGCGCAGCGCGGTGGACGTCTTCCTCATTCTTCCCCTTTCCCGGTTCTCTCCCCCTCGCTCCGCGCAAGGCAGAAAGAGAGAGCAGGGGAGTGTGCGCCAGAGTGGGGAGAGAGGGTGTGTGTGTGTGTGTGAGTGTGTATGCAAGTCTCTCTGTCTGTCCCTACACACACACACACACACACTTGGATCTGTCCACTCCCTCTCTGCTGTGTGTGATCGCGCGTCTGCTTCGCCTCTCAGATGATATGCGCCCCTCAGGAACATGTCCCGTCATACTATCCACGGTTATTGCATTAAAAAGCAAACTATACTTACTTTTTTTCATTCATGTTATTTAGCCAATGACACCCCCTCACCCCCTGTCAGCAGAGCATGCCCAAAATTAATTAGGCCCCTGAACTGAGTTTGATTGGGGCCCCTGCTCCCATTCGAGACCCACACAGGACATCTAATTAATCTTATATCTAAAATGCTTGGATTATTTGTGCCTTACAAGTCCACATATCCAGGGGCGGCTAGTGTCATGTCTTTATAAGGATATCAGACATAAAATCATAGTTACATTTCTTTAAAGAGTTTAATCTCAAGCTGACGTGAGACAGTTTCAGGACAATCGGAGAGAAGTTCAGTGAAATTTTAACACTGAGTCACTTTTTGGATCATTTGGCGCATTTGACATTGCTTAATTTGCAACAGATTGCTGCAGATGAGAACATGTTGCAACTATCTGATGCTAAAGTGACGTGACGCAGGAGGACTATTTCAAAGTTGTTCTTTCTCCTTGCAACGTACCTTGAAACAAGTTTTACAAACGTCTGCAGTGCATGTGGTTCAGGTGAATTGGAAACATGCATGCACGATAGTTCAGGTTGCTAAGTGCCTTTCTGATAAAGACACTGAGCATGCTGTATTTCTTTTCAGTCAGCTGTGTGAAGGTGATGAATAAAGGCAGAGGAGGAGCCTGTCTTATGGAGGGTAATGCAAATGCCAACAAGGAATGTGTTGCTACAAATCGTGGACAATGTCTCACATCTCTCTAAATTTAATGTCATTGGCATAAATCAGCAGAGGTAAAAAAAAGTCAACTTCTGGTCAACACAGAGCCTGTGACTGATCACGATTAGCGGACTTACTGACTTTTTTCATTATACATTTGGACCTTTACATCAAACAAATGTGTCTTTAGGGCTGATGCTCTGTTTTAAATAGGAAAACTCCACCCACTGAGTGACTCGCTTTGTCAACTGTGCTGTTAAGATCCTCCCATCTACTTGTATTAAACTCATAATTGAGATTCCATCACAAGCAGTCCCTCAAGGAGTCTGGGGAAGCACAGGAATGTTAAGTGTGAACACGTTTTTTTTTTTTTTCTGTAGCTGTCCAGTTGTGACGGCACAGAAAATGAACAGGACTATTTGATCACAGCTTTGCTCCAAAATGTGCAAATCATCGCCAAAACACTCACTACTGTTTTTTTTATATTGCTCACCAATCTGTTTGTCAGATTAGTGGTGTTAGTCACAATTTTAATCAAATCAAGATCTTTTGGAAATGCAGAGCAGCTTGTATGTGACATAACCAAGAAACACTTTATAGTTCAGACTGCTGCTCATAAACAACCCTCAATAGCATTTAGCCAATGAGATTTTTTGAATTAACTACAGACAGATTTTAAGGTAAGATAAGCTCAAATGAAATAAAATTCTAAATCTTTTCCTCCTTTTTGCCCAATTCATTTCCACACTGAGTAAAGTTGAGATTTATAACGTGGAAATCTTCCTGTTTTAGATAATGAAGGTTTTTACCCCAGGTGATGCAGCTATTTTTGAGAAAATGATAGAATTAATTGGATCTGTGTAGTGAGCACCTTAATAAATCACTTGACAGTTTCAGGATATGCGGACTATCATACTGGTGTCATGAATAATGACTTGATTACAGACAGAAAGACTCATCTATTCAGAGACAGCTTCATAGAATCCATTGAGGACAAGGAGGTGGGAAAAATAGTCAAATGAATCCCATGGAGGTAAAACTAGCCAGAAAAGTGTAAGAACTGTTTCAGCCAATGTCTCAATACTTGCTCATCTTCATGTTGATGGTGAATTAAAGCCAGCTAGGCATCAGGTGAACAACAAGTGAAGAAAGAAAAATCTTTGTGTGCTCAGATTGTTTTTTTTTATTTCAATCAGCCATCCAGTTTTTAGTGTTTAAATGCAAGCAACAAATGAAAATGATTTACATATTGCTATTTAATTTTTTGATTTGAAAATGATTAAAACTCAACTCAAACTTTATTCATAAAGCACAGTCAAAACAACACAGGTTGACTCAAGAGCTGGATTAGTAAAATATTCAATTATAGTACTAAGCAGTAACATTGTGCAAAATATAAGTTATGAAACTGATCAGAAGAATAAACTTATAAACAATAAAATAAAAATGCATTAAAAATCAATGCAGTAGTCCAAATAATTTAAGTATGATTGTGTCAAAATCTTAAGCCACATCTGTATCAAATCAAATGTCACAAACAATAGTGTTGCTATATTGAACAAGTTGTATAAATTGTATATGTATATTTTTAATACAGTACTTAAATAAACGAAATAAAAATTATATTATTCAATACAATAGTGTGTGCATAACTTCATGTAAAACATACATTAAAAATCTATAAACTAAACACATAAATAGCTTTATCAAATCAAATGAACATGGTAAAATCCTCAAATACAACTCAAAGTACGTTTAACTAATTTGCAACTGAGTTCAAGGAACAAAGTTTAAATTATTTCCTTTATTAAAATAATGAAATTGTGAAATTCAATTCATTCCGAAGAAGAAACTGAGAAATCTGTCAAACATCAAAACACATGGCACAACAAATACTAAGACCACCCTTCACGGTGGTGAGTGGAGGATTCTTTGTCCATTATATTTTGAACAAATATTACAGTTGAAAATTTAAACAATAAATATATAAAAACTATTTTGTTTGGGCTACAGCAAAAGAGATGGCATTATGGACTGAACAAGTAAAGATCTGTAAATGGTGTCTTCATTTAACTAATAGACCTAATTGCTCTTCTCAATGACACCTTAGCTCCTGCAGGGGAGGAAGCGTGAGATGAGAGAAGCAATGCACCCTGCTTTGGCTCTAGGATTCTCCAGAGACCCCATCCACACTGCATGATGGAGGAATGATATCCAGGCCATGAGGAGATGAAGAATAGCACCTTGAGACGGGTAAAGTCCTGAGCACACACAAACAGACACACTGCGAACGAGGAGAGTAAGTCTGAGGCGAGAGAGGTAAGCAGGGAGGCATGTTAGCATATTGAAAAGCACCACAAGAGCTGGGAAGAAGACGATGACAATGCAGCAGCATCATTACATAGCTCTGCAGGAATGCCAAAAATTGTTGACAGCTGGGGTTACACAGACGAGCCAAGCATCACCGAACAGGAAAGTCAAAACAGTTCATGCTAGAAGAGATGACTGGGCTGACAATTCCAGGCTGGAAAAAAGCTCCCTAAATCAGGGTGTCAGCAAGGAACACAGACTGGCTCTAGCTTTTAAGCAAGAAGAAGAGCAGCTGTTCTGGCAGGCAACGTAATTTCTTTTGACAATCATTGAGAAGGAAAAAAAGAATCACAATGATGTGAACCTGGTTGGTCTGAAGGGTTAGTCCTGAGGGTTTCAAGCAGAAACCTTAAACAGGAAGAAGATGCAGAGATGCAGCTCAAACAAGTAAAACCAACCTGTGTTCACCAAACAGCATATTGTATTATCATTTTGCCAGTACCTCCCAATACGACATGTCAACAATAAAAACTTATTGTGTCTTTGTTTGTAACATGTCAAACAAACAATGTATTCCTGCATCATTGTTTGTACAATATGCTGGATTAATGTGGAAATGTGTTATAGTTCAAAATTTGTCCACATTTTTTTTCTAACCTAACCAGCTGCTTTTTTTCCTAACTTGAACAGGGTAGCATACACCATCCATCCATCCATCCATCCATCCATCCATCCATCCATCCATCCATCCATCCATCCATCCATCCATCCATCCATCCATCCAAAATCATTGTGGAACCCCAACGCTAGCAGGTCCAGATGGTCAAAGCAAACATCCCTCTCGAAACACTTTCCATCTCCACCTCCCAAAGTGACTCCGGGCCAAAAGAATATATAATCCCTCCAGTGAGTTCTGGTCTCTTCCTAGTAGAACCTACACAAAGATCAGATAAATCAGATGCTTGAACCACTTCAGCTCACTCATTCTGATGCAGAAGAGCAGTGTTTACTTTGTGCTCTGCCTGGATGACTGAGCACTTCATCTTATCTTTAAAGTAAAACCCAGCCGCCCTATGGAGGAAACTCATTGCAGCTGCTTGTACCTGGGATCTCATATTTTAATCACAATCCATATATCATGACCATAGATGGGTAATCAGTACTGTAGGGATTCTGGGGATCTTTTTCTATTAGTAATTTTCATTGCAGCTTCTGAGTGGCAGTGTGGTACCAATTAACCTCAGCTATGGCTCCTCTAAAACTATGAGTCTTTGCTGGAACATTGTCCTAGCATACTATCGTGTCTAGCCCTAGTGGTAATTACTAATTGTGCCTCATGACTGCTTATAGTACTTACCTCTATTGCTTCTGGTTTCTCATCGCTCGGCTCTGGTTGCCTTCTTCTGAGACTCGTCTGGATTCAGCTTCTGTGACAATCACCTACAACCAATCTTTTATTAGCCAGCATTTCAGTCCTCTCCTGCCCCTCTCCCTCTCTGTGCACCGGTCTCCTTTGTCTGACAGCCATGCCCTAGAATCCTCTGGTCCTCCCCTCACTGAGCTTACATCAAGAGATGTATCACGTAAGCCAAAATTTACTTATTAAAGTCTACATTCATACAGTAAGTCCTTCATCTGGATACTCACTTTCTGCTCGTCCTCGGCAGATTTTCCCCTGGACTGCAACTTACTACCATTGTTGGTACTCTGGGCATTGTTGCTAAACACCATACAGATTTTGATAAGTGCATCAAAAGCTTTGTCTTTTGGCTCATCCCCTTCATTAATATGACAGACAGTAATGTGAGAAAGT